ATCATTCCAGTGGTCTTTGTTTTAATTGCAATACTTCAACCAAGATTCAATTCCTTCCGCAGTCCTACACAATATATTTGCCCAAGCATGTTCCATGCTGCAAAATGGAAAATACAGATGCCTAATCTACCCAATAGCGATTGCATCACTTTTTCCCCTTTACTTCAGAATTTATTGAATCTAAACCATACGTTGTGTAAACTTCATTTTTGGATATGTTTTTCTTTGCCTTCTTGTAACTCCTTGTGAGTGAATTTGTATATTTAAATTCCCAAGGTTTTTCTTCTCAGTCTGCAGTTACTTTTGTCATGATTTTTCAGTTGGATGTGTCTGAAATTTTTTATTCCTCAAGATTCTGCAAAATTGTCTTTTCCTTATCAGTATTTAGTGCTCTTCTTCCAGAACCCAGCAGACTCCTGATGCCATTTTCTTAACACAAATGGTTGTTTTTTCCTTTCCCAGTCACTACTTATATTGCAAAGCATTCTACTAAACTGGTTTGTGAGGCTTCTTTCTTTGTATCTTTTTCTACAAAGCAAGTGTAAGGAAATAGTAAAAATAAAAGATTTAGTTGGAAAAAGCCTGAAATCTGTCATGTACCATTGAATCTGCTTTTATAATGTGGTCTTTCATAAATAAATTTTAAGCAGGATGTGGTGAGGTTTGTTCAGTACATCCCTGAGAGGAAGACAATTTCTTTTTCCCAATTGTGAGTTTGTCCCAGAAACGCAGCTTTAGGGAAAAGAAACCGGTTATACATCAAATTTTATGAACAGTTTTGTTTTAACTTAGCAACATTTGAAGATCAATGGATTTCAAATGTATGAAAATTGAATATTGTCTTTTGGATTGGGTTAATGGTCAAAGTGCATTAGCAAGATAAACTTGAGGAATTATACTTGATTAGACAGGTTGATATGGTTAAACAAACAGTGATGGGGTGTATAATTGAGTTTCTGAAGTTTAATGCAACAACTGGAAAGAAGACTGCTTTAGTTCATGAGGAGAGTTTCATGGAGTAGTGAAAGGTAAAATTAAAGGAATTTCTCAGTACAAGAAGGAGTAGGAAATATAGTTAAAACTTCAGAAAGTGCCATTGTAATTACTGATTTGAAACTGCTAGTGAAGAGGAGAGGAAGGAATGTAGATGTTCTGTTTCAACAGCATCAACTAACGAGTATTGACCTGAGACAAGTCAATTAAAATTGACTTCTCACAGCAGTCAGCAATTGTTTATTATTCAATTTGAATGTATAGCTTAGCAGAGAAAGCAGTCAAATCCTCTGAAAAACTGAGACTCGGTCATTTAAGTGCTTTTAATGTGGTATTCAAAATTAGAGGGCACAACAGCCTTGGCTGTCACTTTTGTATGTGAGACTCAGTATTCAAGAAGATATGCTCCAATATTGTCATTGAACATTACCTCAGTTACTTGAATAAAAATTACAGTTGAGATTATGTTCTCAGAACTATCACTTTGAGTGCTTAACTTTCTGTATTTTTCTTCTTTAAATCAGTTTCAGGTCTTCTGGTCTTTATTTTTCAGGGTGGATTTTCTTTTGAAGAAGTAAATTGGAAAAGTGATGTCTACTAACCCATACTACCAACACTTATTTCTTATATTAAGGTTGCAACCATAACATAAGTTTCTGTAAGCTATCCAAGATGCTGGTATTTGTCCTCCTTCTATCTTTTCTGGATGGGAAAAAAAAAATACAGATTTTCTTCACTGTGTGCTACGGCACTTCAGAAGGCTTGAAAAATGATCTTGAATCCCCCAGGTTAGTTCCAAATCCTGATTAGACAATCATCTTATTTAGACTCCTGTGTCTTTCTCTTTCCTTGTGGTTTATACCTAGATGTAGTCCTTCAATCCTTTTGCACACTAAGTGGACTTCTAAGTGAAAAAATCTAGAGGAACAGGTCATTGCAACACTTGACTGATGTTTGTGTCACTGAGGTCTTTGACCAGAAGAGTAGTCAAGAGAAAATCCTCACTGTTCTGAAAAATACTATGTAGGGATGAACGTGCAGGCAAACTTCTTAAAGATATGTTCTCTTGTTCTCTTAAGCATTCACACAGACAGTTTTTATTAGGAACTTGAAAACTTGGCCAAAGGTGTAGCTTTTCAAGGAGACCACAAAAGACATCTCCCTGGAGCCACCATTCCCTCTTTTTTCCATTCCTTTGAAATTTAAAATCTACTGGTTCAAGTGTTAGGATTTCCAGAGCTTCCCAGTGAAATAAAAATTGGTCTGACTAGGCTTCTTTTTGGGGGGTGGGGGGGATGTTTGTGTGCTCATGCACACATATGTTTAGGGTTTTTTCTCTAAGGAGGGGAGAGGTGGGGGGATTTTGAATCAGATTCATCACATTAGGAAAGTTTAGTCCAGTTACTCGTTTGTCTAAGTTACAAGCAACATATTTTTATAATATAAAGTTTTAGGTCATCATGACTGTTCAGACCCACTATGCTTATGATTATGCAAATAATTCTGTGTTAAAAGTACTGAAATAATTTTTCAAGAAATGTAAAAGATCTACTTTACTACTATCTAGACTAGATGAAAAGAAATCACAAGAGAAGGAGAATGCCTACATTAGAACATATGGTAGAAACTTTAATAATGGCATGGTACTTTCATTCTCTCAGGCTGGGGAATTAAAAATGTAAAACCACAACATTTCTCACGGGTTGTGTCAGTAGCACAATGAAAGCATGTTATTTAGATTAGTCATGTACAAAAACTCAGCAGGATTCTATAGGAGTTTGTCTCTAAACTCTGTGAAAAGTTAATCACGCTTTTTTTGATGGCTTCCCTATCTGTCTTCTTTCTGTATACAGGCTCCACATTCCAAGCATGCCAATTGTGTCTCTCTGTAGAAAGGATGTTTATTAAAATTTGACAGAGAACCTACCCTCAAAATGGTCAAAGGGGCAACTATATCTTGTCCTAACTATGATCAAAATCAAATGCTAACCTGTCAAAATCCTTTGAAATAGTGATACTTTGTGCTCTTCTACTTCATGTCACTTTGAGCCCAGGTAGAGTATGTTCAGCTTTTAAATGCAAAGCCATTTCCTTCCTAAAGTGAGACTAACTGGTGTGGTCTTCCCCTAACCCTGAAATTCCTTAAGCCTAGATTTCTGAATTGGTAGGTTTAATTGATAAGTGAACATGTGTGAAGAGGGAATTAGTTGACAATGTGGGATTTTACAAAGATGCTCAGCTTTGCCTGCGTGCACATTTTTGTCACACTACAGTTTAGATGTCTGTAAAAAGCTGGTTGATCAGTGGGAGTAACAACAAGATTCCATTGGTTGTTAGCAACTGTCTTGTGTGGTTTTCAGGAAGTTAGAAAACCTGTGGTCCTTTGAGGTTTGCAACTGGGGTATGCAAGTTCTTGTTTTTCCTAAGCCCTGGCTCTATTTGGCCTTCTGTAAAACAAAATTATCAAAGGCCATTTCGCTTAGGCTGCTTTGAGTTCTGGTGGGAAGGTCCTCTTGTCCCTTTTGATAGCTGCTTCATCTTCAGTGGCTGGAATGTTCTTTCTCCATTTTAGGCTCTATGAAGCAGTGATGAAACAGGGTATTTGGGCCTTTCACGCTTTAGCTGGTCACGGAGGTAAATCTCAAATGAGAGTGAGGGGAGATTGGGTGGGTTTTTATTTTTATTTTTCTCTCATTTAGAGCTTGCTATATAGAATTTCTGCAAACTGATGGTAGCTCCTCTGTAATGTTGTGTTCTTTGCCCTTCTTGATATATTAAAGGACTAATGGTGGCTTCTTGTCCTTTGCTGTATTTTTTTGGTTGTTTGCTAAACTTCTTCAGTTTATGTCATCTTTTTAAGTCTTTTCTCATGACCTCAGGAAAAAGGAACCTTTAGCCCTGTGTTGAAAAGATTATGTGACTATAAGATTCTACAACACATTTTACATTCTAATTTGTTTCTGGCAAATTTTTACACTTTTGGGATCTTTTAAGGCTAGCAGTAATTACAGGATGAAAGAAAATGGCATGAAACATATTTTCACACGAGTCACATTCTTGATAATGAAGAAAACCTGAGGTGCTTTTTCCCATTCGCTCAAAATAGTATCACTTAAAATTGTGGATTGAAGTTCAGATGCAGACTGGACAGAACGATGAGGAATTAACACCATCAATTGCTGTTGAACACAACTGTGGTGATGCTCCTTTTGGCTCAGAAGTTCGAAAACTACTGCTCAGTGGACGCTGGGAATGTGTGTTGGTGGAGCACTAGGTGCTGTGCATGCCCAGTGTTCTTCTGAAAAAACTTTTGCTTGCTGTAGTTGGCAGAGCAGTGCTGGGTTAGATAGATCTTTACCAACTGTAACCATTTTTTATGTTATGCCACTTCGTGCTGTCACTGCACTTCAGTCCATTCTGGGTACAATTACTATGATGCCTCTTTGAAAATTCAGTCTAGGCTCCTCTGGTTGTTTTCTTTCCTCGCCCACCTAAGATGTGTAAGCTGTTTCTTTTGAATGCCTGTGGAGAGGGAACAGGTTAACTCAACTCTGCTTGGCTTAGGAGGAAAAAAATATTTTGACCAAGTGAATATTTTCAGTACTAAAATGTTACAGGTTTCAGAGTTGAGCCCTACATCACTTTATTGTGGGAGATGGGTTGGTGAAGGAATTGCTATTTATATGGGTATCTGGTTTGGATGTTAATGTATTTGAGCAGATTCTACTTTTAATTCAGTAATGAAAAATAGGGTTTTTGTGTAGAGGTATAATTGGAAATACTTCCAGATACTTTACTGCGTGTATTCTTACTGGTCTGTGCATTGCAGACAGGTTCTTCATATTGCAAAATGATCTGCACTGTGACTTCTGCCATTCTGTATAGATCCAGACTCACTTGTGATTTCTCTCGTCCAAGTGTTTTGCATATTATGATGATATGTGCTCATTAACTATATTGTGATAAGAGTTTTAGTGAACACAATTTCTTTTTGTCTTGTCTTGCAGGCACCAAGTATAGATGAAAAAGTAGATCTTCACTTTATTGCATTAGTTAATGTAGGTGGTCATCTCTATGAATTGGGTAAGAACACATTTTTATCCACTCTCTCCATTTGTTTGAAACAAATGCAAGTAGTGATGCTGTTAACTGTCAAAGTTTAAGAGAGATTTCCTGATGTTATATAGGACTTAGGTTCTTTTCAGCTGCATGTTAGGGTCTGGGGGTTTCTGTCAAACAATTGTAGCCTTCTTCCCCTTTTTTTTTTTTTTTTTTTTTGGTTCTCTTTCCCTCAACTCCCTCCTATTAAGATAAACTGGTGCACAATACTAGACTGCCTTAAAACTTCTGTTGTGATTTATAAGGACAAGAAGCAAGAAAGAACTGAAGAACACCCAAAGTTTCATAGGAAACTAGTTATATTTATGTCTCTGCATTGTTTGTATTAAATTAACTGTATGCTGCTTTAGAAGTGTTAGCTGTACTATTAAGTAGCATGATACAGTTTAAACTGCAAGTGTAAATAATAATAGATATTAATATTCTGCAACTAATTTTTAATAGGCTGGTCATTTGTTTCCTCTACTTTTTTGTGGTCATTAGACAGTTCACTGTAGAACCGTAGTCTTTATTTTCTGAATTACAGCTCTTTTCCCCCCTTCTTCAGATTGTGTAGCACTTCAGTTCTGCTCTGATATTCTCTAGTGACTCCAATTTTAAATATGTTGCTGGGCAACTAGGTTTTGCTACTGGCTCTTCAGAAAACCAGCAAGTAGATCAGCATTTAAAAACTGCAAGTTGCTGGTCTTTCCTATCATAATTTTGCAGTATTTTATGATGATAACATTTTCATCATTTGAAAATCAACACATAATTAAGCAATGCCCTTAACAGGTGGTAACTAATCACAGGCAGGGGCATAAGCAGTATATAAGAAGTGCTTGTGTTAATATTAAGTTGATCTAAGGGATAAGTTATGAACCATAGGGACACAGTTCTGTATTTTATGATGCTATGTGTCTGTCAGTGAACTAAATCAAAAAGGTACGTACTGTAGGATGCAATATAAATGTGTTATGACAAAATTTCAAGGCATGGTGAATGGCTTGCTCTTCTTTTAGTGGTGTGCTATTTCCATAATATGTTTTCATTGCCTATTAATTTACTCTGCTTGAAATGCAAACTACATACTTTGATGACCATGTTCAGCTATTTTCTGTAGGTATGATGCAAGATAAAATCCATTTGAATTTTTTTTCTTAAAATTAAAAAAAAAAATAGAAAAAGAAGAGGCATTTAGCTCTGCTGTACAGTGGAATGCCAGTAGTACTATTTTGTTGTTCTTAAAATAACTTCTTTCTGTACTGGCGGAAGGAAGCAAAAAAAACAAACTGAAAAGTAGGAAAATGGGAGAAGGTTTTTCAATTGATTCACTGGCTTCAGTCACTGTGGGCAGCATGTGGGCTTTGGAAGGCAGAAAATGCTAAGGAAGCACATGGATGCTAAATGCTTGTGATGTTTTTGCCATAGAAAACAGGTTATTTATAGGCACATGAAATTAAAATGATGTTCTGCCAAGATGTATGTAAAAAGCCCCAAGAATAAATCAAACTTAACTTGCAGCAGTTCAGGGCATTCAGTTCTGTTTCCTTGGCCTTTTCTGAGGGTTTTGCATTGTTGTATCTTCAGTCATCGTTGTTACAATATTGAACAATCTCATGCAAACTGCTCGTGCAAATCCAAAAGTCTGGAGTTTGGAAGTATGGCATCTTTGGAGAGGGAAAGGTCTTTTACAGGGAGAACAGAGCCAAAAGGGATTTGGTCCAGCAAATACTGAGGATATCCTGATATATGTTTTCCTACTGTTAACTCTTTGAAAGTAACCTTAAACATGTTTCTATGAATGAAATTATTTTTCAAATGCAGATAATGATACCATTATTATATTGCAAATGGGAGAAAAAATAACTATAACTCTTTTTAAATGCTATGAAAGTACATAATACTTAGAGCTTCTGGACTTGTTTGCTAATTTATTTTAAATGAGAGAAACATTTCAGATATGCCAGACTCTTCAAACTGGTAGGTTTGTTACTCTGTTCTTTAATGGAGTCCCTGATCACAGCTGTCAAAGGCCACAGATGTACAGCTGTCTGTCTGAGTAAACCCATCAAGCGTAGTTGAAATTTTTCTACTCTACTTGAAAAAGTAGAAGCACTATACCAGCAGTAAAACAATAGCAACTTACAGCCTTGAAGCCTTCAAATAAAATATTAGAAAAATATTTCATGGTTTGGACTATTTTTTCATGTAACAGACTGTACGTAATGATACTGATTGAAGCAGTCAGCGGTGGAGGAGAGATCAGGGAAAAGCTAGCTGCATGTGTGATTACTTTTTGAAAAATGAAATAGTATTTTTGAAAGTGAAGTACAAAAAAATCTGTTCAAATAGTTTTAACTGGGAAAATGAAGCTTTTATAATCTTATAAATGTGTTGTTCAATCCTGCTTTGTCTTTCAACAGATGGGCGCAAGCCATTTCCAATAAACCATGGGGAAACCAGTGACGATTCCTTTTTAGAGGTAGGAATAGAGAACCTTCTGAAATGGGCTTATAAAAAAATATAAAAAAATCTTGCTGTATTTCCACAAAATTTATAGTATACATATATATGAAAATACTGTACAAGTCTTGCTGTATTTATGGTTGGATGAGAAATAGAGTGAGTGGGATGGTAAGACAAAATTAGTTTTACTCAGTTCTAAAAACAGATATTTTGGAACACGCATGTTGTACTCTGGATGACAGAGTATTGTAACATAAATGTCAGAAAGGTTGACTATAACAGAAAATCAGATTGACTTGTCTTCTGTGCTGAGATTTGCATATACCCCTGCTCCTTTCAAGTACACAAGACGAAGTTATCAGATTGAAAACTTAAAATTTTTCATTCTCTTTCCCTTGGTTTAGGTATAGTTTGATAAGTATCATACTAGACAGAAGTTGATTTCTTTTCTGGGTCTTGCTAATAATCGTTCTCAAGTTTCATAGCTTCTTTTTGGTGCTTACTTTTGTCAGGAGCTGTTCAGCTGAGAAATTAATTGGAAAGGGATACACTCTGTTCAGAGGATGACTGTCATCCCCACAGAGTGATACAAAGTTGAAGTTGAGAGAAAGCAATGCATAGATCTGACTATTATGGTATCCAGACTGGATTAGCATTACAAAAAACCCAGAAAAACTAAAAACAAACAAAAACCAAAACAATTTTATAGTCGAGTAGCATAGACTAATGTCCATAAAGCTTGCATACAGTTTCTGTTTGGACAGGGGGAGAAGTTGGATAAAGCTTTCCTTATTTCATATGTGGCTTTTTTCTGATTTACTGATAACATGTGTTCTCCAGATTGCACCCTAAAGCTAGATGGAGTTACTTAAGATCTTTCAGTTACCCCACACAGCTTAGATTCATCTTGAAACAAAGGAAAAATTTCTGAATGCAGAGCACTAGTCAAGGCAAACTTCAGAGTTGCATTTAGAAAGTCAGACAAGCAACACATCTGTTGCACAAAGTAATATTCAGTCAACAAACAAAAATTGTTTCTAAGGTTCTGCATAAAACTTTTGCTAGTTTAGGCTGCCCATATGAGCACTGAAAATAATCTTGAATAGTGGTAACTCACCTCAGAAATACAGTTTATGTAGATTTGTGTCACTGTTTAGTAAACCTTCATGGAAAGGTCCATTTTGAGCATAGTTTGTATAAAACGTATATTCATATTTCAGTTTTGTTGTTTGTTTTTTTTTTTTTTTAATAAATATGATTTATATTGGGTTTAATTTTGGTTTTTTTTTCATTTGTACTTTTTTTCCCTAGGATGCAATAGAAGTTTGCAAGAAATTCATGGAACGTGACCCAGAAGAATTAAGATTTAATGCAATTGCACTGTCTGCAGCTTAAAAGCCTTTTCCAGTGAGACTATTGCAATGTATTTTAACAATAAACTGTTGCCATATGTTAATAATACAAATTTTGATACTTCCCTAATGTGTTGATTAATCGTAGCATACGTGGAAAAAACTTTGCATTTGTCCTTGCTATATTTTGCTGCTTGTTCCTACAGCAACTTTGGGTATTTATATACAAGCATGCATTTTGTGCAAGATTTCTATGTGGTGGGTTTTTTCCCTTCCACCCCCTTAAAATTTTCAGAAATTACTATCTGTGATGTTTCATCATGATAACGATGAGCTAGTTCAGAGCAGGATTATTGTTTGTATCATTAACAGATAACATTCTGAGTGGAGTATATGGTATGTTAATGAGTGAAAACTTGGAATATGAGGCTATCTCCATCTTTTATTTATAATGGTGCAAGAATACTCTAAGAACTTCTTCAAGTGAATCCAATGACAAAGACATTTTTTTCAGTGCATTATTTATAAATAAATATATGGAAGAAAAAAAGCAGAAAAAGGACTGTTCTTCCTGTTGGTGAGCACTAACATTTTGAAATTATCCTAATGTTTACATTTTGAATAAAACTTGTTTGTTTCTCAAGCCTAATAATGTTAATAAATTGTCAAAAAGCTTTAGTTAAACCAATGTTTGCTATTTGTATACGTGGAAAAACAATGTGCATTTTTGCCCCGGAAAAGGCACACTGACTAGTTCAAATGGTAGGACTGTGGAGGGCACACACAGATGAATACAGCAATGTGAAGTCTCTCACCTAACTGAAATAAATTATAGAAAAGTAATAATTGTTGTAATGAATTTTTGTTTACCAAGAACAGAAACAGACTATAGATTTTAAAGTAGCTGTGATGGTCATATACTTTTCTCCCTTTTAGGAATATCTATTGTAAATTTGTCCGGTGGCATTACTGGTTGCTATGTGATACCCTTCCCCTGTGCCATCCTTCTCACCCCACCCACTAGATCTTAAGGTGCCGTTGCCCAATTTTTATACCTGAATTAGTAGCATTGTGGTTGTTTTGGGTCTGTTTTGTTGTTTGGGGTTTGTTTGGGTTTTTTTGGCTAAGCAATCTTATACTTTAGGATTCTTGCGAAGGTTGGTTTTCGTTAATGTGCATGTTGTTTACGTTCCAGAGAAATATTCCTTATTCGTTCCTTAAAAGTGGAATAGTTTAGGTTTGCTTCCAATCAAACCCACTGCCAAAGGAAACTGAACCCTCTGTGTCCCAGAGGGTGCTCTCATTCTCTGTCAATTGTCATTGCAGGAAAAATGAATGGGTTTATGCCACAAGCAGTCTGGCAGAGTTTTCCTTCTTCATGGAAAAGAAAGAGGCCTGAGAGTCTGTCTTATCACTTAAGAGCATCTCTCTAAAACATGTCACCTGGAGAGTCTACTAACAACACCAATCTGTTTTCTGTAAGTGAGCTAGTTGGAAAAGCGAGGGAGAAAAACAACACTAATAAGCTTCTATTTTTGAGCACTTTTTCACCCCAATAAAATGCAGTATCATTAAGACTTGCTTTATGTTGCCCTGTTCATTAGCAAAGCCCTGAAACTTGCTTTTAAATAAAAATCAAAGGCTTTAGTAATCAAACCAGCTGCATTGTCTTCTTGCTAATATCAGGAAAATCAAATGAAAGTTGTCACAATTGAATTGGAATATTGCATATTTTATGCTGAAGGTGACTTGAAGGATTAAATTTCAAGTAAGCCATAGTTATGTAGGCCCTTTTAGGGGAGGGAGGAGGGTGAGGAAAGAAAGGAAGCATAGTTCAAAGCTGTTAAACTAGCTACATCAATTGTCTGCTTTAGGAAAACAGTCACACCTTATATGCTCTTCACTGTTCAGAAGACTTAAAGTAATAAATGGAGGGGTTCTCTTTTTGTGCAATTGTTTATTGCGAAATCCCTTCAGAACAGGAGCTTCTCACTGAGTAAGAGAACTCATTATGCAAATGCATGACAAAGGATAATGAGGTTAGAATAGTAAATTTGGGGTGGGATTTTTCATGGGCACGCTGGCACATCTTGGATGTTACATAGAAACTTAAGAATTCTTACTATTTTGGCAATATGGTAGTTTTGTTCAGCGTCTTCTACATAGTCTTCAAATCTGTTGTTCTGCAGGGTAAGGTTTCCTTCTATTTTGTTTTATTTTTGTGTTAATTTCTGGTTTACTAATATATAAGATGATACATTTTAGTGAACACTGCTTTGTGATGCCAAAGGAAGAGCAATACAGCAGTTCTTATGCCGAACTGTGTCTGCTTTCTGTGTGGTCCCTTGCTGGATTGAAACTTTGAAAGACTGTACTGCTGAAATACCATCTCACCTAACCTGTACAGTGTAACAGCCTTCCAGAGACCACCTTGTAAGACCCCGTTTTGGCATAGGCATTGGTGACCATCTTGAGGAGCATAGGAATTAAAAGGATCTACAAGCTGCTGGAATATCCTTTTTTTTGACAGAACCCGTATAACTCGGATACAAGGAGTGAGGTACGAACTTGGCTGACTTGTAAAGTCCAGCAAGGTCGTGACCGGGAGCTGATAAGCCCTGCAGACCACACAGTGCTTTGGCTCTGCAATGCCTCAGTGTCTGCATCATTGCCTTAGCTGTACAATCTCTGAGTATTAGTTCAAGCTCCGTGGGAAAATAATGCTGTATTTTCTAACTTGTGCAGCCCTGCCAGAGCCTTGCCACCTTTGTGTGGAGGAGCACGGCTTGGCCACGGGCACACAGTGCTCCTGACTGCCAGGAAATCCCTCTTCACCTCCTTCAGTCCAGGCCAGTCGTATACTTCATCTTATGGAAATGGTGTGTGTAGGCATGAAGAGATGATGCATGCTCCGCACTTATATTAGCTTCAGCTGAGTGGAGCTGGTGTGCTATTATGCACTCGGGATTGTTCAAGAGCTTTTAAGTATATTGGTGCAAGTTTTCCCATGTTATTAAAGGCATTTTGTTAAGAAACCGTAAGAATTTAATAACCAGTACAATGCCCTTTCCTTTCAATCATGGCTGTGTGATTCAGTTAAGGGAAGAAGAAGAAAGAAGTGGTTTTCTGACATTGAAATAGAAGTTTTGGAAAATAAACACACTTAACAGCCCACATTTAGAAAATAAATGCTGTCTATCCTTAAAGGAAGCCTGCCTTAGTAGAAAATACATTGTGTCAAATATTTGTAGAACTCTCCTTGAAAAGAATACCATGTAAACTGTTGCTTGACTTACCCCTAGGAGCACACACATATTGAAAGGGATTATTTTTGCCAAATAGAACAGTATTATGTTTGCTACTTTAGAAGCAACAATTAGCAGTCATATCTGGTATATGTAATCGTTCTCTGATCTAGGACTCTAGTGACCTACCTTGTTAATGCAGAGGAATAATAAACTGTTTTGGTTGCTCAGGCTTACATAGGTAACTTATCTGTGACGATTTAAAATTGACTTTGGGGATGAAATTTGCATGTCGGAGCTTTTTTTTTACTTAGTGAATAACTTCAACTTAAAAGTGTTTCACTTAAACACTGACTTAATCAAGTAACTAGATTACTCAGATTACTTGAATTATTTCATCTAAAACATTAAACAATTTGTAAGAAAAGTTACTTGATTGCCATGAAGTGAAATAAAGCAACCAGAAATAAGTGAGAATTTGGAAATGTTTTTTTTAAACATGATCTCTTTTAAAACCTGTCTCATAGAATTGTATTCTCAAATAAATTTAAACTATTATAGAATTCCTAATTACTTTCCCCTACTTAGGGACAAGCACTGCATTTTTAGATGAAGTGAAAAGACCTTAAAAATGGGAGAAAGATTGCTGTTGTCCTCTAGAAGAATGTTTGGTAACCTCAGCTAATGCATACTGATGTCAGCCAGCAGCAGCAGCTCATACATGCTTTATTTAGACTTTTTTTACCCTTTGTAGTCATGGATGCTAAATAGTGAGTTGAGAGAGTTGTTTTCTGATGTTCAGGCTTCCCACTCAAGAAACATGCAGATTCTTCATTTGTATTTGGTCTTGTGGCTGATCTGGCTTGGAGCAGGGAAAAAGAGGGGGAAAAAACTTCAAAATTACAGCTTTGGTTACCATGTCATTTGTCACTGGCTCTAAAGCATAGATGTCTTAATTCATGCCATGGTGAGGAGCTTAATACATAATTTCTATGAATTTGTAACTTTAATAAATGTCAAATACCTCCCATGGAACTTCTTTCAGCCAAAGTCACTGCAGTTTTCTTCCTTCGTATAACACTAGCAACAGTGATTTCCATGTACTGCAGAAACTGATGGCTAATAGCTTCTTGGTATGTTGATTTCCTACAAATTTTTTTTCCTATTCCAAGAAGGTTTTTTGTAGAGCAGAAATAAGATGTGTTCCCAAGTAAACATCTCAGGAGAAGCAAATTTGTGTGTACTATAAATTTTAAGTTCTCTCTTCTCAGTAGGCCTTCAAAAATTACATGTGTTTTGCTGTGGGTCATAAAGGCATTAGATACATGCAGCAACTCAGTTTGCTACATACAGAGAAGATATGGAAAGAAAAAAATACTAGTTGAAGTTCAAGGATAAAAAGAATCATTAAGTTTGGAAAAAACTCTAAGATCATCAAGTCCAACTGTTAACCCAGCACTCCATGTTTCACCACTAAACCATGCCCCTTCAGGGAAAGCTGATTTGTGTGTAGTACAAATTTCAAGTTAGCTTTTCTCAGTAGTCCTTAAAAAATTATGTATGTTATGCCATGGGCCATAAAAGCAAAATGTGCATGCAGCAACTTGGTTTTACTTATGGAAAAGACATGGAAAGAAAAAATGTTACAAAACACTCAAGTAGGAAAAGATCATAGAATTGTTAAGGTCAGAAAAGACCTCATAAGATCATCAAGTCCAACCATTAAACTAGCATTGCCATATTTCCCACTAAACCATGTCCCCGAGTGCCACATCCATGCATTTTTGGAACACTTCCAGGAATGGTGATTACCCCACATCCCTGGGCAGCTTGACCACCACGTGCCAGTGCTTGGCCACAGCCTCCTTTCAGGTAGCTGTAGAGAACTTGAAATGTTAAACGAAATCAAGTACTTTAAAAAAAAAAACAAAAACACCACAAACAAAACACCACACAAACAAACAAAAACCCAAAGTCCTTATGCTGTGTATGAGCATTCCAGAAAACTGCTCTTTTCCCTGATGTTTCTTCAACTTTTATGTTTAGCATGTGTCCATTCCTGTATTGGAAAAAAGGATTTTGCTGTGTTCACTTAGCACACCGCATCTCCTGGTTCCAGTGTGTCGGTCAGGGTGGGTGAACCTTTGCTGCAGCACAGCGTAATCCCAACCTGCCCCACCTTTGAGGTTATTGCAGGGGCCAGAGCTCAGCACGGCACCCACCAAGGTTCAGGGGCCAAGCCGTACTGAGACCGGGCTTTAGGTCTGAGCCCGGGACAGCGTGGAGGATAGAAAAGTCGCAAAGAATCTGTTGCAGTGTGCTGTGGGCAGAGACGTGGATGGAACAGGGCAATGGGCACTGGTGCGGGTGCTGTGAGCTATACCAGAACTCAGGCCAAGGGTGCTAGGGAGGGAAGCGCGGAGGCCGAGCTGTGCGGCTCCAGTTCTGCCCAGGCATCTCCGCTTTGGCCACTTCGTGTGAAAAGCGCTTAAAACGAAGTGTGGCGCTCTCATGACTCCCAAAGCGGTGGGAAAGGCTCCTAACTTCGTCCCCAGGCGGGACAACGCTGCAGAGGAGCGTGGTGCCGGATCCCCCGGG